GTAATTAAGGCATGTACCTTTAAGTTACCCGAAAATATGTACCATGTCTGTCAGCTGAAAGTAAAAAAAAAATCTAACTCACTTGTTTCTGCCCTCTTTCCATTAACAAATTCATATAAAAATTAATAACCTATAAAATATAATATGAAATACTATAATTTAGTGAAAACAATTTACAAAAAACACTTTCAATGGAGGAGTATCCAGTTCACGGATTTGCAGTGGTACAGACTGAGTGCAGTGGGAAAGTATTCTTGTAACATTCAACATCCAAAATTCTTGGGTGGCAGAAACTTCCTACATTTAAAACTCCTAGTAACATTGTATTGACAAATTTACATAGAACACATACTTAAACATACTCGAACAAAGTCAAAAACTGGTTAATTAATCAAATATTATGTTTGAAAAAATTAGATAAAAACTTTTTGAGTTATTGTAACCACAAGAACATCACCTTCATCTACAATGATACGAAATAATGTTTGAAGGTGTTGTTCCCTTGTTTTGTTTATGTTCAAATATGAAATACTTTATAATACACACGTTAACATTGTCTAATACAGTTTTATACTGATAGACAGAACACATAAACATACCTCATCATTCAACCAGTTTAATCCATTCAGAGTTTGCAGGTCCCCTCTGGTGATTGACAAGCGGAAACCCTCAACTAATATCTGAGTTGATGGATGGGATATAAAAGCATCATCAACTTCCATTTCCATGGAGTCTGATAATTCTGGCAACTCCTCCTCCTCCTCCTCTTCTTCTTCATCATCAAAGGAGACATATTTGTCATCAATGACTCCGATTTCCTTCTCAGATATGCGCATACGTTCTTGTATCTGTTTCAATTGGATTGAGAAAGAGATGACAAGGCACTTGATCATTACAGTATAAGGTTACTATTACTCAAATCCAACCAACTCCAGGTCACATGACTAATATGTCAATACCACCAGAAAAATTTGGCCCACAAACAATTTATTGAGCAGATTTTAGTAATTTACTGGCTTCTAAAATATCAACTGATCATAGTATTGAATCAAAAATTTGGTACGCCAAATGTATGGTTTGACTGTAATTTAGGCTGAGTTGACATACCATGGTGACTAGCTTTATGGTGATATTAAACAGATGAAATCTCAACTAATAATACAATATATAGTGTTTATGAACTCAAAAGTTATCAGGAATCAAATCAAAATTACAGGAAGTAAAACAAAATAATTTTCTTTCTTACCCTCTGCTCTATACTAGAATCATGTGCCTCTCGCTGAAAGAAATAAGCAGACTACAGATTCAAATCGAGTTTTCTGACTTGTTAGAATTGTAAACGGTATCAAAAACAAACAATGAATCAGACCATTTTAACTGATAACAGAAAAGAATGAGTGACTTACTCTTTCTTTCAAAATCTTCAATTTAATTTCAACCTCCTCAATCTCACGTGATGTCTTGCGGGCACGAGAATCATATTTTTCCTTTCTGTAATTGAACAATCAATACTAGGTACACACTCAATACTACTACTTCACAAATGATATTTCAATAGTCAACAAAATTGGCTTGACAAATTTTGCTTACATACTGTCAAATACTTTATTTTTGCTTGGAATTACCTTTCGATATTTTCGCTGAAGGAATGATTCAGTGAAAATAAAATCCAGCGAATATACCTCTTTTCCTATATTTAACATTAAACTCGCAAAAAATCAGTGAAAATAAATTCCATGCAAAACACCCAAAAAAGTCTTTTGAGCGAAAATTAATTCCAGCTAAAATTAAGTATTTCACAGGATTGTATTTCCCAAGTATCATTTTTATCCAATGAATAACTTGCCAAGATATATCTTAAGGTAGCGAAAGGAAATTTTCACTTTTTTATTGATTTTTCAAAAATTTATAAAACGGTTACTTAAGACCTTGATACATCATCCCAATATTACAAAAGATTGAAATTGCGAAATAACGTTGCTTAAATTAGTGTTTTAAAACGCTAGAAGAAAAAACTACAACTGCCGTTTCGTGGATATTTGCATAGTGTTTATCTTTGGAAGGGTTTAAATGATAACATCTTATCTGTATACTCTGTCGTTGACGATTCTGATATAACGGGTGATAAGCTTCCAGTTGCAAACAATGTGTGTTTATCTAACGTCCATTGTCAGCATTATTGTCAGTCGAGACTTCATCTGAGAAACATAGTCATACAGTCCGGGCATACAGTACTCATTTCGCCCAACCTTCCGCTTTTACATCAACCGACCGGAAACCGACCGCATTTTAATTGCGTTTTTTTTTGCTAGCTTGCTCATTAAAACACCGACCGCTCGCCCAAACACGAATCACTGGCACATTAGTGGTCGAAATGGTGGTTTTGATAGTAAAGTGTGAACATACAACTAGTATTAACTCTTTAAATTCTGAACGACACTTCAAATCTAATAGTTGTATTACACTTGTATCGTAAAAGCAACTGAACTGCGACCTCTTGTTACGTGTTTTGGGTGCTTGTTCTATATGTACTATTTTTTATTCTTTTAATGACAATTACGTGAAAAAAGTATAGGTAACTCATTTTGACAGAGCAGAGAAACGAGGAAATGTTAATGATTAATTCCAAAAATAACGATACCAAATCCACGTCGGTCCATGTCTGGTAAAATTTGACATTCAATTTTCAAAAATAAGTCACAATCATTTAATGAGTTCAGTCTATACCGTATACGTACTGTAAAAGTGTTCCCACAAAAAATATTTTTGACTAAAAACGGCCACATGCCCTGAATAAATCGAACAGAGCTTGACAAGTATGAATAATTCATTGGGCTTAAAAAAAACGTGTGAAATTTAGTTATAGCCATAAATATTTGGTGGCCAGTCGATGAACAATTCAAAACTCAGGATTCACACGGATGTCCTTCAGGGCTGAAAATCATCGACCCTACTCTGGTTTACTTTATTTGCCAACCGTGGACTTTAATGTATCTAAGCCTAGTATTTTCTTGTTGAACTGAGGTCAAATTCCATTCGTTTGTCAAAATATACCAATGTTTTTCAGCGAATAATTTTGAAGCCTGTCACAGCACAAAAACACTATGTGAATCAACGCCGGAAATTGGATGGTACGACGACCCTTCAATTAGCGTCAAATATGCTTTGTTACAACATCATTGATTGGAGCACAACCTGGGTCACAGAACCATATTTGTCCGTATTATCAACAGGACCTCGCAAAAGAACCACACCCACATTTTCAATCTTTTTTAGAGTGGAAGTTGCCAACAAATGACAAAAAAAAATTGTGAATTTCATGGATTATTCATTTTTCACGCTCGAGCTTGAAATTATTCACTATCTGACACTCTTTG